CGGCCCCCCGCCCGCCGCCGGGGGCCCCTCCCCCCCCCGTCCCTCCCCCGGGGGGGGGGGCAGCCGTGGCCGCCGTCAACCCACCTCCGCCCGCGCGGCTGCCCCTCTCTGGGCAACCCCACCCCGAACCTAACGTGGCGAGTAACCGGCCCCTTTCCTCGCCGCCGCCCTGCCGCGGGTGGGCTTCCCGGTCCCGCCGAGCAACCCGCAGCTCGCCCCCGCTCCGCACTTCCACAAGAGGCAGCAAGCCCGGGGGCCGGGGCGGGGAGGACCAAAATTATACAGAATAAAGAGGTCAGTGATGCTCTGAGCAGGCCCAAGACCTTTTGAGCAAGCGCTACAACTATCCTCCTTTAATTATAACAAAGGATAGCTAGAAACAACAGAAGCAAAAAAGAAAACCCAACAATAAAGCCTTAAACCGCGTTGCCCCTCCACACGTCACTGGCAGAACGTGCGATCGAGCCAGCGCTTGAGTTTGGTCCCCATTGCTCAGGTTAACAAAGCCAGACCTCGCTTTCCGTGTATTTTCGACTCCAAGCTGCAGTAGGTGCTTGAGAAAAAAAAAAATTGAAATTACTCAGCACTGCACTAGGAAAAGAAAAGCTGCTTTAGGGAAGGGTGGTTTTTTGTTTTGGTCAAGTAAATTAATGTTTCACTTGCTCAGAAGTTGCTGTCCAGGATTATATGATTTGTGTAACTTAATACACCACCACACCCTTGTCCTGAGCTGCGCACAAGTAGTTTGGCTTTTGTTTTCAAATCCTTTCTAGCCCTCCAGCATTTGAAGAAAGTCTTTAAAATATTAACCAATACAACTGTCATCTTCCTGTGTTTCCAGACATTTTACAATAGGAAACAAAGAACAAAACCCTACAACAATAGCTCAGAGGTATGAATTGCCTCATTCATCTCACTGGAATGTTCAAAAACATTAACTATTTTTTGACTGATTCAGCAGAAAATGTGCTGCCAGATAATAAGCTTGTGCCTGATCCAGAGGAGATTCAGGGAGCGAGAAAGGTTTTATTTTTCAGCACAGCAAAGCAGCACCTTTCCTGAAAGGAAGCAAATACTCTTGTTGATGGAAGAGACTGCGTGGGAGGAGAGAAATTCTGACACGGCTTGAAGGGAGCCGCTGCCTTCCTCTCTCTGTACTGGCTCTGAAATAGCAAATGGCTTATTTCAACCCCGATTCTTAATCCACAAAGGCCCGCAAGGGTGGTGGATGCTGGAAAAGACTTGCATGTCACTGTAATAAATTAATTAGCAATTAGTGCCCACTCAAACACACCATAACCGAACAGTGCAGTCCTTTGGCTTTGAATGGGAAAGGCCCGGGACTTCAGTGTGGGGTGTTTTAATCTCTGGTTTAACACTCTTGGAGCAGGAAAGACAAGGTCAGCACCGTAGGCTGAACTTCTGTTGAGACAATACCATCATTAAAACAAAGTTTGAACAAACTCCCGTTAAAGCACGTTGATGCGCTACGGCCAGTGAGAAAACAGATGGCTCAACTGTCATTCCGCCCTGTCCTCCCCTCAGGAATGGTGGGAAAGGGAATGAAGTGCCGCTTCCAGCGCCGCTGTCTCATTTCCAAGACCGAGAGGTCAGGACAGCCGTGCTCGTGGAGCCGTGTCCTCAGGCGTACTCGCCCAGGGCGGGCAGAGCTGTCCCAGCCTGCACCGGGCACTCGGGGTTTCCAGCGCCAGCGGGTTACTGTGTCACATAAGACAACCAACAATTAACCGCAAAAATACCTACTACACCTAAAAATTGAACAATAGTCAAAATCTTAACAGAAATGGAATCGTTAAACAATAAATAACTGAATTCCTCAACTTCTGGAATATCATCACAGGGTGATGGAAAAAGGCTGTTTCATTAATGGACTGTAGTGCTTGATGACAGAATATTTGCATGTTAATACAGAACAAAGTAAAATAAGTTATTTTTGCTTACCCCACCACCCAGTATCGGAATTCTTGAAGAGTTCAGTAGCAAGTGACATCCTCACACTTCCAGTTAGCCATTCCAATCAATGACTGGGAAGTGGCAAATATCTTAAATAACGACTACATCAGACAACTGAGGAATATTTTTTTTAATGGGATCTTTGACATTTATGAGCAATATGCACTTCTTAAATAAATAGAAAACATTCATTCAGAAAAAAAAAAAAGAAATCATGAAAGTTTTAAAAGTGCTAGTTTTTCCAATTTCCTTCCAGGATTTCATGATACAGCATTATATGTGCCATTTTGGCTGAATTCAAAATAATTTTATGCAAAGTAAAGCCACAGTTATACTTCCCTTTCTACCAGACACAACCCCCGCCCCAGTAATCCAACCATGTCAGCAAATTTCTAGAAATTAGTGCTTTAGTTCTCTTACCCCTGCTCTGCCACACACAATATCGATGGCTCACAGTTGGCACAAACATGTAAAAGTCAGTGTTTTTAAAAAGTCAACAGAAGAACCTTTAAATAAGCATCCTTGTTAAAAGTGTATTAAGAGTACATCTTGGGCTCAAGTTGATTCACCTTTTAGATACTTTAAAAACCATGCCTAACTGTAAATAAAAGTGCACACATACTTCAGCGCTGCTCAGCACTGACTCAACCAGGCATTTAGAGGTGTCCCCGACCTGGGCTGAAAACTCAGTTCTGCAAGTTTTACATTGCTACAACAAAGTGACCTCTTCAAAGACAGCTTAATCCTTGGTTTCCTCTAGTCCTTTACAGAGGGCTCCCTCTCAGATTCGAAACAGTGGTTGCCAGCCATCTCGGGGGATGTTCAGAACAACTTTGGCAACTGCCTGAGCTGTTTCACATCAAGAATGGTGCCAACAGAATTCATGCTGTTTGACTGGTTTAATGTTTCAAGGGTTGGAGTATGCAGATTTTCAGGGAAGACCTGAATATCCCCTTCATCTTTCCTGCCAGGCTGTTCAGTGAATTCAACTCTCCCAGGAAACAATCTGGGTTTTGATTTTAAATCCTTTAAAACCTGAACTGAGTTCTCATCTGCTTGATCTGCTCTGGGAGGAAGAATTTCATTTGTTATATTTCTTAATACAGGGTTGTTTAATTCTGGTGGAGAAGCATTAGTAGTCAGCTCTCTGCTGTGACTTTTTAGATGGATGGAAAGTCCACCATCACTTCTTGTGGATAATTCAGTCCAGTGGTTGAAGCCATCCAAAACAGGGGTACAGTTTTTGTCCAGCATGCTTTCACTTTTGACAGTGCTAGAACTGCCAACTTGAACCTGCAGTTCCTCTTCATCTTCACTACTGTCATTGCCCTGTATCAGCCCGTATCGCTTCATGTACTTCTTGGTTGCAAAAGACATATTGTTTGGCGAAATTAAGCTAAGACCCACCATGCTCTTGTCCATATTTGTATGCAATAGGTCTTGGAAAGAGAAATCTGCAGGAGGATTTTGGCCTGAACGACTGAAAGAAAGTCGAGATAACTGATTTTCACTGAGATACTTGAGTGCTATAGCGTTTGCTTCCATGCTCAGATCAACAACATTAGGAGTTAAGCCACACATGCTGACATTGGCAAATGACATATAATTTAGTCCAGGAACCACTGCTTCAGGATTTATGCACGCCAAGATGCTGAAATAAAGCATCAAAAAGTTAGCTTAGTAACGTATGCATTTTACAATATAATCTGATAATTTCATTTTGCTTGCTGTACCAATTTCTCCTTCCTTCTGAACACCACAGCTCGATCAGGCTGCTCAATGCCAAGATCATACATTCAGCATGTACTCAAAAGCAGCTCTGCAGCTACTCACACTGACAATATCCAAATACAGTGTTAGAGAATTGATGATATTCCCTTCTGATTCAATACTAACCACAACCCTCGTATGAAGAACCTGCCTCTATCAGGTTTCAGAGCTGCTTTTGCAGGTTTAAGCTCTTGGTCTATTCTCACCAGTGAACATGACGTTATATGCCTCTGGCCCTAAGACTCCAGATGCTGCCATCCAATCCAAAATTTATAGCTAGATAGAAGATACAAGCCCAATGACAGAAAACAAGAACATCTCCTCTTTCCCAATGCATGCCAATTCCAGGATTTTTACAGGAACTCTGACATAGTATCTGTTTCCAGAAGCTTACAAGGTTCTAGTTTTTGAAGGCATCCTTCAGTAAGGGAAATGTTCATTTGTTCTGTTGCTTGGTACACCAATTTCTTATGTACATTAGGTGTTTAGTTTAAAGACTGAAAGGACAAGCTCTGGTACACTGGTAGTGGTTATAAACTAGCACATTTAGCACCTGCATCATACACTAGTTCATAAACCCAAACTCCTTGTGTTGAGAGTTAAGACTCTTCCTATTTCACTGAGCAGAGATTCTGAAGTTTGCTTAGGGAGAGTAAACTCCTGGCTCAGATGAACAACCACTAATTATGCTATGGGGTCGCACTGTTTTCTTCTCTACTGAGCTATAGGACCATTTCTCAGAATTGTTTACCAGTCATGAAAGCGGCGGAAGGAAGAATCCCACCCCACTTCCCAAGTTTGAAGAAAAAAAAAACCAAACCCAAGAATTCCAGTTTTGTCTTGTGGGTTCACTTATTAGCATATTATTGATATTAAAAGAACACTGACAGACTCTCCATCCAGGAAGGTAGCCCAGAAATACCAGAAAAAATGCCTGATGAAATTCAAGTGGAAAGAAAAGAGCTTAGAAACTGTATGACTGGAAACGGCTTTTGATACATAGCTGAAGAGAAGATTAATTAGGAGATGGTTAGATTTTTGTTGTTTACCTAACAGTTATATAGTAGTATCAACAAGACAATAAGGATGAAAGTGAAGCTGTACCAGACAGTTAGCCTATGCCTGAGCACCTACATAAGTAAACTTCTGTGCCTCAAACACCTTCTTCAGAAATTACTTCTGCTCCTTCTGTTTCATCAAGGCTGGTTCCCTCCCCAGCCACTGCAGCCTCCCTGTTTGAAGTCAAAGCACTCACAATAACAAGCAATTAGGACAGAACCAATTTTGATTACGTATCAAAGCCCTGATAACAATTTCACTTATACTGGTGAAGTGCAAGACAAGGGTTAAGAAGCAGAGACAAAATATATAGCTGCTTAACATTCAGCCTCCCAAGTCCAGTGTTTCTCTGGAATACTTTGACATAGCCCAAAGGATTGAAATTACTCAAGGAGCTTCATTATTATTCTCGGGAATTGTGTGCTACAGCATGCACAATATTTTAAGAATCACCAGATGCTCTAACAGCCAGAGCTACTTGTGTTATATTTAATTAATCTGAGTTTTGCTAGCAGAGCTCTTAAACCTGTCTGAAATACCCATAGCAGGAGCCACTGTTTCATCTTTGCAGGAAATGCAGATCCAGTTGCCGAACAAATCCCCAGCGGCAGTGAACATGGTCCCTTCTCTTTGCTCATTGAGCCAATCGTCATTTTCAGTTGGATCTACAAATTACTACTCAAAACAACCAGTATTTTACCTGGCATTCTCCACTTTGTGTGTATTTTTCTTTATTTTGCCAGGCGAGTCAATTGTCACTCCAAGAGTCTTCAGTTGTTCGAGTGTAGCACTAATCACACTCTCTTTATCCACCACTCCCGTGTCAGTCTCTGAAGTAATTTCTGTTGTATCATCAATATTCTGATATTTAGGACCATCATCATTAACAAATCCTGCTTTAACAGGCAAGTGATCTTGCTTTTCCGAGGACTTTAAGAGGTGGTTCACTTGGCCCTACAGAAAAAGGGAGTAGAGGAGAGACCACATGGACAAAAACATCATGACATGCAGGAGCTGTCAAAAAACAAAATCCTAGTTTATTCATATGCAACTCAAAATACAACTAGATGGGTTAACAGCTTATTCTGACAAACAAGCCAAATTCAGATTCAGTTCAGATGCAATCATGTAAACTCACAGCAGTGTAGTCAAACACTGGAATACCTTACGTTTCAAGCTTTCTGTAAGAGTCTGTTCTGAATTTAAACACATCACATACTTGAATCTTGAAGAGTATCAGTATCTGCCCTTTAAGGCAATTGAAGGTAAAATGCTGTGCTATTTTAAAGGGCACTAATTGGGGAAGTTATTAACTGACTTTATCTTTTAACTAAAGAATTATTATTTATTAGGCAGCAGGCAGTACTCCATGTATGCATGGGAGAGCGAAGTACAGAATAACCACTTAAACCTTAAAAAAATGAAGAACCACAAACTTGGAACGTTTTTGTAGAGCAGAACACGTGAACTTGAAAATTGCACGCAATTCTCATTCATGCCAATACCACATCAAAACTTCAGCAGTATGCTGTTTTGACTGTTGCATTCAGTTCAGAATATAAAATTTAAATGAATTACCAGTAAGTCCTGGTAAAGCTTCTGATCCTCTGATGGATGCCGAGGCAGCAACGAGGCAGGTGGCTCTGAGTTTTGCTCACTTGTTACCACCACATGGTTGCTGGCTCCCTCTGTTGGTTCTCTCTGTAAAGACACGCTAACACTTTCTTCCAAGGATGAACTGCGAACAAGTGCTTGGGAAACGTTTCCATTTCTGAAAGAGAACAGCAAGATAGCTAGATATTTCCTTGAAATAGAAAGCACAAGTATCACTACGGGTACCCTATCTTTTCATGAACACCAGAAGGGGAGAAAAATCGAGTACTAGAAACAGATTCTAACATTTCTCCGTTTGTCTTTTGCGGGAGGCTTTGCTCCTTTCTGCAGTCATTTTCTTTCAAAAGTCATTTGAGGACTGAAGAAATACCCCCCCACAATGTGAAACTACAACAGCCTGACTTAGTTTTTCAAAAGATTATTTGAAAATGGCAATGGCTTCTCTGGACTAGTCAGAACTCAGTGACACTCTATGACTTAACCTTAAAGCAGATGACATTAAAGTTATTAACAATTTGGAATTTGTCTTATGTTTTCAGCATTTTTATGGACACTTAAAAGCCTTTAGGAGTAATGTCTCTTTCATATGTTCTGAAACATGACTTATTGAAAAAGCCTTTTTTACCAAGGTGAGTAACTGATAACAAGATTCCTGTGGTAGTTTAAAAACTTCTCAAAGACACTGTTACAAGTACACACATACACAATGCACACTGAGTATCATGAACTGAGAACAAACACCTAGTTGGAATATTTCTCAATAGCAGATGTGAAAGAGGAACCATAATCTATCCTAAGTTTCCAGATAAAAAGGGTAAATATTCTAGAATGAGTTACAATGCAATGCTCTGCATCCCCTTCAGCTAGCTGGTGTGTGCATCGCATAAACCTTTTGAGACCAGACATATCAATAGTACTATCATCCCCAGGAGATCCTTAAGCGACCCTCCTCCCCCTTCCTGTTCCTCCTCAGGAGACAAGTGTAAGATAAGGGAATTTCAGAACTCAACTGATCAATTGCCTGTGTTGAAAGCGATAAGATTTAAATCATGTGACATACTAGATAGTCAATGTAGGTTATCAGTTACTGTTACACTAGCAATTATTCATCATTCCCAAAAATGTTCCCCTCCTCCTCAAAGAAATGTGGGTGATGCTCTACATTCTTCCTGTAAGATAGTCATACAGCTATTTTACAAGTTTATGAATCCAAGTTGAAGAGAACCTCAAGATGGCATCTCTATAAAGTACAACATTCAAAAGACTGATTTGAATCAGTAACATTTATGGTAGCAGTATATGTTTGCAGATAATACTCTAATCAAGGGCTATAAGTATTTAAGTTATAGCTTAATTATCATCATCTTTCCCAATATGATTATTTTGGAAACCTAATTTAACTGGAAGAGTATTCCCCCTCCTTTGGTTTTTTATACTTGGAGAATATTAGATCATTAAAAGTAATAAATTATTGAGCTATTCCCTGTGTAAAAATAACATCCATATAGATAATTAAAAATATTTTAAAAATCACTTCCCAAATTAGTCTGAGATTAGTCATTGCACTACAGCAAATCTGAGCTTAAAAATAAGTAAATTAAGAGCAGTGAAGTTGGTACCTGCATTCAGCACACACAAAGTAATCAGGTGTAAAACGCAGAAAAATTCAGGGAACGGTCATATAATCATAAACCCCTCATCCTAAGCCCCTCAAAATTGAAAGGGTTCTGCACGCTGACAGGGAAAAGCCACTGTAGGAAAACAACTGACTACAGCAGCATCCCCTTTCCCCCTCAGGATTTAAGGTAAGAAAGGGAACGCTGCCAGCACTGTACATGTTTTTCCAAGTTAAAGGCTTTTGCCATCAGCTGCTGCTAATAGGTAGGCTAGCTAAACGTGCATGACTGATAAATGCAGACTCTAAAGGCAACTGTGTTTTGGTGAGCTGTACAATTCGAAGCATGATTAAAAAACAAAGAAGGGAAAGAACACAACAACTGAAATCAGGTGACTGTAATTCCTGAAAAAAATAATTATGAAAGTAGTCACTTATGAAAGGCAGTTCAGTTTATTATGTGAACACAAGATATTTCTGGTTACTCACTGGGGAGTGTTCCGATTAGTTCCTTCTTCCACAAGATGAATACTGTCTACAAAGCTGGGCATGTCAACCACCTTTAAGGAAGAAGCAATACTCGTATTACTTGCATCTTGTTCAGCATTAATTGAAATGCTTATGTCTTCCTTAGAAATCTCTTCATCTTCTTTTTTTCCTTGTGGCATGGAGTCGTCTTGTTTTTCTGAGGCTGTGTTCCAAAATAAGCTAGCACCTAGAAGAGAATTAGAGATTTACCCATTTAAGGGAAGTCATTACTATCTTCTGAGACCCTTTGGCTTTGTAAAGCTAGAGGAATAATTTCTTCACATTCAGGTTTTTTTTCACCATTTAAAAAGCAATTTAGGGATTAGAACAGCTAAGAGTTGCCAAAACATCATTCAAGTCCTAGTTTCTTCCAAAGCATACTTGATGAAAAAAAATGGTTGTATTAAAGCATTTTAATGCATTGACCTTGAGCCAGTTTGAAAGTTTCCTCCAGACTAACCACAGTAATTCCATGGATTTAACATGAACCAATACATTAATATGTAACTTTACAGACACAGCTGCATAACTTACTAAAATTAAAGCAAATACAGTCTCTTCTCCATGCAGGTAAATGCATGACTTACAAAAAAACCATCAATAATATATTTCATAGAACATGAGATGGGATAGAAGCTATTACTTTTAAAAACAGTGTATTAATTCAAAAAAAGATGTGGACTTTTTCTTTCAATAAGGCACAACTTAAAATAGAAGACCTTGCTAAAGCTATTGGAAAAAGTAATTCTTCCAGTGATAGCAATCACTGCCATTGCAGTCCAAAGACAAAAGTAGCTCCAGCCTAAACTTGCAAGTATCACCTAGAGAACTTAGCTGGTGTTTGTATCTAGGTGCACGCTCGTGTACGTTCAGCATTTCTGCAAAACATTCCCTCCACGCCCAAACAAATCACAGGAACATCCAGATAAAGTGATGCCAGTCTATTTTTAAAGACTAAAGGGTTACCTGTGCTCACAGCAATGCTCACACTTTTCCTCACGTGTGAGCCGGGTGAGGACTGTGTTTCCATAGAAACAAGGTCCCCTTGCTTCTCAGGCTGCAGAGCGTTGCTAGCTGCAGCTGGTTCAGAGGAACAAGCCTGACGAGCCTGTGCTTCCAGTAAGCGCTGGATCTGTAACGGTTATCAGAAACTTATAATTCGTACAACAAAATATAATGTATAATAGGCAAAAGTGAATTACCAAATTGGGCTCCTCTAAGGTCTGGATTCAAATCCAGGCTGCATTGCCACAGAAGTCCGATAACCTTCCAGTTCCCAGCAGCGCATGCAGCATAAATCAGAACATCAATTTTGACGTTGGCAGAGCTAGCCAAGAAAAGGTTTTAGGCGCGCTGGCAGAACTACACCAAGACAACTTGAATAAAGCCTATTTGCACTACACTTGTTGGAAGTATTCTCTGTCCCTTTCATTCACATACAAAGCCTATTACTGACTTACCAGCCAAGCATTTATATGCCAACTGTCCCTACACCACGCTAAACCAACTTTGTATTGATTACAAAACTAAGCACTTAAATGATAAAATTAAGGTTGCCCAGGCAATGTTCACTCTAGTATTTGCATCTACCCTGTTCACCAATTAGTTCACAGTCCATGGAGAAATACCGTAACAGTGAAGGCTGCATTTATACAGTAAGGATGGCTTTCCCTCCCTCATGCTTTGAGAGCTTGATTTTACATATAGCAACTATATCTGAAGCATATTTCAGTTGCAATTTTCCAGTTTAAGCAGGAAAAATATGTATTGTGAGCAATTGTTCGAACTTTCCTATTCCTATCATTCATCACCAGCAGCAAAATTTAAACTCTGACTCTTCAGTCAAAATCATACCCTGCAAAATACAGGGCCAGCAGTGTAACTCAACAGGTCGATATTTTGAAGAAACGTAACCTGGTATCAAAACAGAACTTAAGGAGAGCAGCAAAGCCCAATTTTTCAGCCCAGCAACAAACCCCTGATAAATCCTGCCAGTCTGCTGCAAACAGACAACTGAAGTTTTCTAACCAACAGCCTCGATAGCTCAGGAAGCTGCAGGCTTGAAGGTGAGCAAAGCAACACACGAGAATGTTCTGTGCGTCACCTGTACGCTTACAATAATTCCAAAGTCTATAGCCCATGCAGTAATTTCTTTTACATAGACAAGCATATATATAGGAAAACATTTATACAGAAGGCATATCAGTTTGCATTATAAAGCAGTCTGCTAAAAGCCAAACCTTCATGTTATGGAAACTTGATAAAAATAAATGCAAAAATCTAATCAGGAGTCAAACAGTTTTCATTTGCTTTAAGGGACACCAATTAGCAGAGCTAATCAGGACCCTCCTGCACTCCCAAACTGGACCTGGTATGACAGGCTCCCTTATTCCTACAAGGATAGACAAAAGTTAATTCCTTTGGCAGGGGAACTATCAAAGCATAATCACTAAGAGGGCAGAGGGGAAAGCTGCCATTTCCACAAACCTGAGCTTGAAGTAATTTGAGTTGTCTATCTTGTTCTGTAAGAACCCGGTATGCATCTGGAGATAATCCCATCATTCCATTATCTGATCCTGCTTTAGAAGCGGGCATGTGCAGGCACGGTGAGTGAGCTGCACAAAACTGCGGACTAGAGGGGCTTGCACTTGAAGGCAGTCTTACTCCAGACGATAAGCTATTGTCAAGAGAACAGTTCCCCATTTTCCCATGATATCCCATGCTTATAGGGCTGCTTGTGGTATATCCTGGATTGCAGCAAATATTTGGACAACTGATATTTTGATGGAGCACTGTACATGGATTCTGTTGAGCCAGCTCTGATTGGATTTCCGCTCCATGTTTGGGGCTCATTTTACCAATTCCTTGCCATGAGTTTATTGGATTATATTGGATGGAAGCAGGAAACTGACAGTTGCATGCACTGGCTGGACAGCAAGGTGGCACTTGAACTGGCACCTGCAGCTCTGGTGGTCTTCTGCAGCTCTGCAGTGAAAAAGCAGAGGTGCAGAGGACTGGCTGCGTAACAGCAGAAAGCTGCTTGGAACTGGATATTGATGTTCTTCTAACTGGATGCTCTCCCTGCTGTGCGACTCCATCGGGATTTAATACAAGTCTTTCTGATGGCTTTCTGGGGTGATGCACAGATGTGTCCGGGGAAGGCCCACTACAAGGGGTTGAAGGAGAAGATCCGGAACTTTTTCTTGATTGAGGGCAAGCTTTCTTACAGTGCAACTGTTGCTGTAGTAGAGCTTGCTTTCCTCTGGAAGGCCTTGAAGTTGGAATTTTCTGGTTTAAATGGTTTGGTAATTGCCTCAAAGAGGGATCTCCCATACTAGCAGAAAAGTTTTGCTTGTCTTCAGAGTGCTGGGTGGGGTAGTATGTAGGTCCCAAGCACCATTTCTTTTTAATAGGCTGATGTAGCGCTGAGGGTAGACTTCTGGCATTTGAAGTCCCCATAGGCTTAGACGATTGTCCTGATTCTATGAAACTCCCATCCAAAACAAGTGACAGTTCAGGAACTGAAGGAAAGATCCTGGTAACCTGAAGGGACAATTACACAAGCAAGTTTAAGATAATTTTAAAATATCATCTTTCAGCTCTTCACATGCAGAATTTCCAAGAGAATGTTTTCATTTAAAATCAGTATATGATCATTACTAGCTCCAAGCCAACTACACATTGAATACTCTTCTAAAGACTGGAGAATCTAGATACAGAAAAAGCAGCAAGATCTCTAGGATCATTCTTAGAAGACAAAATTGCTTTCACACAGCGTAATAGCCATGTCTACCAAATGAATGCTCCATGTCATCCTGGAGAGCATTTCAGAGTACAGATCTTTCCCCTGCAAGAAGAGGGTTACATGTTCCCTCTTACTATTCTTAGACCCAGTAGATAGGTGCAACAGAACGTATTTTATAATGCAAAACTGTCACATCCTTCTAGACCTATGCTGTGTGAGGGCTCCTATTTCATTATATATGTATATGCTTCAGTAAAAAAGGACAGACCAGCAGATATTTCATTTACCCAGAAATACACAAGAAAGAGTTTGCTGCCTCTGTCTTTGCCTCAGACATCAGGGCTCTTCCATTTAACGGTAGCAAGATTCCCAAAGTAGAACCTACTACCTCTGTTCCCAAATTCTAGCATATACAGGAATTAAAGCGTCTATAATCCTGGAAAAAAGCAGGTTAACTAGAGCAGGGGTTGGCACTCTTGGTCCATTTCTTCAGTTCTGTTTTCCCCTGAAAAAAGGTTGCAGTTTTTTCCCCTTTGAGACACAAGCTTTATACTCTCCAGTTCCCTTACAATGAGCTTTGCTGCTTTAAGTGTCACATCTGAGATGCCTAGACTTCCATTTAACGGTAGCAAGATTCCCAAAGTAGAACCTACTACCTCTGTTCCCAAATTCTAGCATATACAGGAATTAAAGCATCTATAATCCTGGAAAAAAGCAGGTTAACTAGAGCAGGGGTTGGGACTCTTGGTCCATTTCTTCAGTTCTGTTTTCCCCTGAAAAAAAGTTGCAAGTTTTTTCCACTTTGAGACACAAGCTTTATACTCTCCAGTTCCCTTACAATGAGCTTTGCTGCTTTAAGTGTCACATCTGAGATGCCTAGAACAATTATTTACTTAGTTACCTGTTGACTCACGGGGTGAGGACTTGGAATTGGTCTGGGGGACAAATCCTCATCTTCTACACCAGAGTCGTGATCGCTTGCTGACAACTTGCTGGGTGAACAGCCTTGGGAAGGACTAAAACCAAAATAAATCAAACTAAAAATGTTTGCTTCTCAGATTTGGCAGCAGTAACATAAATCTTCACGTTTTTCACTGTGCCATCTACAGTGCAATATCAGCATCATTTTTTTGAGAAGCAGCTGCTATATATCTCCTCCCTGGTTAGCTAGGGAGTTCACACAGCAAGCAGTTCTAAGATCAAACAGTGAAAATACAAGTGCTGCTTTTGGGCAAAAAGATACTAACCCTCCCTCCCTGCACCCTGAGACATACACACCTTTTAAGTGACATTCTAACAGCAAAGCACTGATTTATATTAGAAAGATAGGGAGTGCTACAGTAAAGATTGTAACATTGTTTAAGGGAAAATAAAGGCCATCTTATAGTCATAGATAAAAATTTGATGGATAAGGCAAGTGCTTAAAAATCCCTACGTTTCAGCCTATCCAGGTCTCACAGCTCTGAAAAGTCAGAAGGAAAAAGGAATTTTTACCAACTTAAGTAGATTTCAATTAGAGATTTGCTTCAAAGGACAGATCTCACAGAAAGCTTAATACAGTGAACTAAGCTCCATCTGTAAGGAAGCCTTTTTAGAAACATCCACTGTATAAATTACAACCATCAGTAGCAAGAGTAGAACTACCAGTAGTTTTTCTTGGAATATGGTCAGCTTGACAGTCTTACTTGAAGAATATTAACACTAGGAATAAAAAAAGCACATACACAGATTTTAATGCAACAAGATCACTGTATGCACAACTAAAGTAACACCTGGCACAACAGAGGTCAAAAAGCCTCACATGCAATAAATATTCAATTTTTGCATATAAATGACATCTGAAAGATTTACCTTCTGATAGGAAGTTTCTTGCAAACTCTGCTGAAGAACTCAGTTTCTGCATTTTGTTTTTCTGCACTCAACTCAAACTGGATAGGGCTCTTGTCTGAAGGTTCAACATTCTGTAATGAAATTTTCTGTATTTGTGAAGCATGAAACTTTCAACTTTTTGTCACTGAGGTACTACTCACAAAGAAACAGTTTTAGGGACGTCTATATCTGATTATTTGCTGCTTGTCCTCTACTTTCAATTCTCAATTCTTTCACCGCTACAAGGAGGCAGGCAACTTCCCTTCCTGTTTAACACTGTCCCCCCTGCTACTCTAAAGTAGTTGGCCTAATTATAGCCATGAGCAGATGCTTCCTTGCTGTAACTGCTTAGATATTCTTCCACAACCTTTCACCACTATAGGAAACAGCAACTGTTCCTATACTGTTTCACACACCACAGCTGGGCAAGCCCTGAAGACAACAGAAGTAAACCTCTGCTAAGAGGCCTGTCGTCTTCAGAAAGCTAAGCTGTACCTAGGCTAAAGGTGGAAGGCAGCCCCGAACAGGGAAATTTAATTGGAAAGAGAACAGAGTAAACAGCACAGGACACACATTACACTAGCTGCTTCTCTGCCAGAACATAGGAGCATTTATCGACAGATTAACAATTCAACTTCAGGTTCTGTACAAGTCTAGGAAAACATGTGAGGAAGTGAGACTTCCTAGAATTTCCTCAAACCTTATTAGTTATCTCCCAGACAATGTATCACCAAATTCTTTCAAAGAGTTACTTTGCATAAAGATAAAATTCTTCCTGCTTTGTTACTGTAGCGCTGTAAGAGATCTGCAGATTAGTAACCACTGAATTCCCTTTTGCATTCAACTTCAAGCAAAGCACAAGTACGTAGCTTTGCTCTCCAGAAAGCACCAATGTGCATCACCCACAGCAGTTGTTAGATGTCTCCAGCATGCACACAGCATACCAGATTAACAAATGCTATAGGAAATCAGAATCTCTGCTCATAAAGCCAAAAGGTCACTAGTAAGAAGGAGCACTAACCAAGTCCAACACAGCACACTACGTTAAAAGACAGATTCTTAATGCTATTAGAAAGGTGAGCAGTTGCTGGCTTTAGAGGTCATCTCTCAATTTGAGAGAGAAACTGAATTTACAGTAATCACTGTAAAAAGGTAGCTTCATAGAGCTACATACTTTTCAAACACTGAAGTTCCATTTGCGGCACATTATAGCAACTCCTCCTTTAAGTACTTATGCTAAAAGTCAAATTTTTAAGTACCACGATGCAGTAGGAAACCAAGCCACTTACTTTGAAGAGGTGTACTGTTTCATTGCAAGTTAAGATCTGAAACCCTAGTTCAGTCTGCCCACTGCATGGAACACACTCATAAAACTCTGGCTCCTTGTGTGTCAATGAATAAAGCACAATAAGAAAACTCCCAGATTCTGAAAAAACCCTAAAATAGGAAAAAAAAAAAATCACATCTTAAAAAAAAAAAACTTAAGAAACAGGAAGAAAGCCCTTAGTTTCTCAATATACTGAGTAAACTATCACACAGTTTAGCAAACTGGTGAATCACTGCATTTTGAGCAGTACTGAGCTATAGATAGAGCAGATAGACTTATGACTGATGCCACATGCAAGAATCAAAGCAAAGTAAAAAAATGGGAATAATTTGTCTACTTTCTAGTTCAAACCTTTAGGATCACTTAGTACTTTAAATGAATTCCTAGAAGACTTCAATCATAGCATAGAAGAAAATATCTATAAAAATGATATTATGATTTATTTTTTTTTATAATTCAGTTGAAGATCTATCATAAAGACCCTTAGTGTTTCAGTTATCCCTAAACATTCCAAAAATGCTCATTAGCAAACAGATTTATTTTTTTTTTTAAGAAAAATTATATTGAAGTTTTTTCTACAGGTTGAGAACAGCGAGTAACAACAGTCAACATTTAACACAAAAGATCATTGTAATATGCTTCTTTGGGGGGTGGGGGTGGTGTTTGTTTTTTCTTTAAATAATCTATGTGATAGAGAAAGCAGGAGGAACAAGATGCTTGAAAAATGCATTCACACACACAACTTCAAAGCTATACTTACAACTTAAGAGTTAAAAATGTATGACGCACAGATTAAGCGGTTAGTCTGCAGAGGTTAATTCTGTTTGCATGGTTCATCAAATCTGCCTAATCCACTTCCAAGATGGAATCAGTGAAAGTTAATGAGCGTCAAGCATCTAACTTGCCTATCTAATAATCTAATTGGGCTCTTATCTGTATTCGGGCATATTTAAACTGTTAAGGGAAAAAAGTCTATCCTGTAATTACAGGCACATCTGTTCACCAAATGTGGTTTTATTTCATAATTTAAAAGCAAGTGTGGTTGAGCAGAAAAAATTCTTATGCATACAGCATAGCAGTTTTAAACTATAAACACCTGAATTGCCTCCCAGCTTCCATATAAATAGAACTTGGCAAATGTTACAAGTGAAAAGATGTAGAGAATGAGGAATGATTATCTACTAACATCACAGTGAAAAAAAAATATCAGAATGCAAAAACTATAAAACAGAATATTTAGCAGGAAGTCATAACAGGACAGTATTAGCTGCAAATCAGTATGTTTCAACAGGTTGGTCAGATACAACCAGGGAGAAAGCTTATGTTAAAGAAAACACCCATAAGAAAAGTTCAAAAACAAAACCAAAACCCCACCACTGTTTAAACTACTGTTTCCTGCTTGCTGCTTCTTATTTAATACAGTAACCTTCATGATATTAATATTTACCCTCTTCTGTCTTTGAGATATCAGCCCAGCTTTCTAACACTTCAGTCATAGAAAATTTGTGAGGCAGAAGTCAAAACCAGAGAGAAAAATTAAAACAGACAGCCTTACCTTCTATATAACATATAAATCACAGAATTCCCTCAAATATCTTTGAGCAGCACCCATGTTGCCATGCGTTTCTGCAGAATACATTTTTAGGCAGCCAATAGCTTCTATGTTTTATAGATAAAAGTGACTTGCCTTTCTTGAATTGAAGAACTGAATAAATATCGCAAGCAACAGGCCCAGACTTGAGGACTACAGATATGAGTAACTCCACTCAGCCAACTAGAAGTAAGAAGAAATATCCAATTAGAGACAGTTCCATTACTGAGTTTCCACTATGTAATTCCTCAAATACATCTCAAATCAATATGTGTATTAACCTGTACAAACAGAGCCAAACACTTACACTCCAACTAATGGCAGAGCATAAGCCTTGGGATCAGACTCGAGCAGCAAAAGCAATTTTCGTGTCTGGTCCATAGTAAGGTAGCTGAAAGAAAAGAGAAGTTGGGTTTTTTCAGTATTTTAGAAGGCAGTCTTTCAGAAAAAATCCTGAAGAGACAAATACAAGTTTAGAAAACACTGTAAGAGAAAAAGTTCAGGGAAAAAAAATGCAAAACCATTCTTACTCCATATTTACAGTACCTCCTCAGATTTTCATCAGTTCCTTGTGTATCAAAGAATTATCAAGGACAAAATGTGCTTAGTATTATGGTATTCACAACAAATCCAGAAGTACAAGTCATGTTAAATTTGAAGAGTAACTTTCAGAGAGGCGTTCACAAGGTCTCTCTCCAAATAAAATGGCATTCAGTTGCTTCAAATTAATTCTCTGATCTGTCCTTAGTTCACCCTACTAAATTAGTTATCAGTCAGAATAACGATTCCCCAATACCATCTTACAAGCATGATTAACAGAAAAAGCTTTAGTTCACATTCATCTGATTTTCATTCTAGGGCAAGCCATGACATCGTTAAAAAAAGCTGGATGCTGTTTATATTTGTTATGTTAACTAGAGGTGTGTCCCCCTGCCCCAGTAGGAAGATCCTTCTACTGAAGTCAAAAGCTTTTTTGTAGGAAGATCCTTCTACGGAAGTCAAAAGCAATAACACTCCTGCTGAATCAGTTAAGCTTTTTGCCCTACCCCATTTCCTGTTTCTTGTTTTAAATTTTTCCAAGTCCAAGAAGTTATGCTATTTTTATGCCAGTTATTTTACTAAAAAGCAAAGCACTGGTTGAGATCTCACCCACCTACCTGCTTTAGGAAATGCAACAAACTGCCAGGCAACCTTGATAGCTTTAGCATCACCCTTTACTCACCCACATTTGTAAGTTCCTTGAACTTGTGCAATATTCATAGGACTGTTCAAATTTCTTGCTAGGGCTGTGGGAATAATTGGGACAGACTTCACAGGGGTGTATTCTAAGATATTTGCTGCAGTAATAGAAGCCCATTGAAAATTAAAATGTAGATTATCCAGGTTTTCTGTGAAAACAATGTGAGCTCTAACAGTTAGCAGTTTAGAAAGATCCAGTGATTCTTTAGTGCACAGACTGTGCTGCAGACCCTAGAAGAAGGGAAAAGAGAAAAAAGTTAAATACACTAAATTGTCTTCATATGAGTACCATGATTCTAGTTGTGTTACACTATGAACTCAAATCATTCATCACAGCTACTATTGCAGTAGGCACTGTATAAAAAGCTGTTAACCCAGGTCTCCAAAGCTCATGGCTATACTGAATATAATGAATAATGTAAAATACACTTGAAATTAAGCTATGCATATCTAAGCATTGTTTTATGATGTATTCAAAAACCTGGGGTTACTTAAATTGTATAAAAACTAATAAAATAACAAGCAACTAGAAGGCTCAAGGTGACCTGTCAAAGTTTTCTTACTTGCATTCAAGAAATTTGTATTTTAACATCTGGGTGTATCATAATGAGAAAGTTCAGATGTGAAGTAAGCATTATTTGTATTATAAAATACACACAACAACAACTACAGGCAAACATTTACAGGAATGGAAGGTGTATTTACTAGATTATATGTCTACAGCAGAGCACAGAAGCAACAGGCACGCATTTCAGCTATAACTACTAACCTACATAGACTTCACATGCTTTCTTGCAAGTCACTCGCCTAGCAATACTTTGTCATCAACAACTGCGCAAATATTGCAACTCGTTCACAACAGATTTGAAGGAAAAAGCTGTTTTTTCTTGTTTAAGTAAGTTTGCTGCAATTGCTGTTGTCTTGCTGGTTTTGGTGGTCAGACCAGCTGAAAAACTTGGTCACACAGCAAGATTTTAGTCCAAGATTAAAGACCGTGTGATCTTTAAACACCTGTGAAGACTAACCGATTTTAAGTTTCCGATACACTTTTCAATGACATTCAAGCAGCTCATTTCACATAATCAACTAAATAGTCCTGCTTCAGCCACAACTTTGCTGTGTTTGAAATTGATGGTGGTTGGAAATCAAGCCCTGTGCGTATTCCAGTCTCCTGCCTAGAAGACAGTTTATTGTTTAAGAGACCCAAAAGTTGCCAAGAGCTGCCTACCTTGAAAGCCAAGCTGATATCTTCAGCATTGTGCACTATAATATTATCTGAAGAAGGACCCCAGGCATTAATTGTACATGGAATCAAAAAGTCTCCAGGAAGGGACGCAGTTGGAATTTTGCCTGATCCACCAGCAACTTCTCGACCAGGATCAAAGCGGTCTATTGTTAGTGTTATGCCTTCCCCATCTTTAAAATAAATAAATAAAGTCAGAGTCCAAGAGCAACAACTCAGGCTCCTTCATAACGCCTTGCTCAACCAACCAACACCGTCTGTCTACCTGATGCTTAACATTACCTTCATCTACTGCAAGAGTCCCAAGCAAAAAACAGGAAAATAATTTCTTTTCATTCTGCTTAGCATGGCGATAGGCAAGTCGCAAGGTTTTCTCCATCATAGATAACTTTGGGTTTCTAAAAAGAGACAATAAACAAGTTTAAGACTCAAATTATTTTAATGCTTTCTTAAAAAGTATTTGTTCTATTGCAATAGCTTCTACATCTTTTTTTGTCCTTTAAAAAGAAAATATACAGAAACAGTCCAAAGCCCTAAACAACAAAAAGGTAAGAATTAACAACATTGTACAAAACGTCAATAGAATTTTAGCTCCTGTTCTGTGCGTCACCCCAACTATTCACATTCAAGAAAGCCATATTTTAACTGAGGCAACTCCACAGAATGCTCTGTACGATCATCTCAACAAGAATATTTTGGCTTGACTAGTCCAGTCAACCAACATCAGAGGGGAAACGTTTTTTCCTATGGAAAATAAAGAGCAAGGAGAGAGAAGAGCTTTTTTCTATATAGAGTAAGTAACAAGGGGAGAGAAAAGTTTTTTCATCTGATGGGCAACATTTTCACAAGAAATAGAGGTGAACACAAGTGAATTATTTTAATAGAAGGTGGAAAAAGTTAGAAACATGAAGAGCAAAACACAGAACCTCTAAAAAGTCTCCTAAGTTTAAAGAGTAGAATAGGCCAAAAAGCTTAACTAATTTTGATGTGGTGTTCTCTCATTTCAGCACAATATTTAGTGTGGATGCTTAAAGCAGCAGCAGAATGGGCTCAATGACACAGGAATGCAAGTACAGAGAAAGATTAGGTAATTATAAAAATCACTATTTAGTAAAAAAAAAAAAAAGTAGTTAGTTTGGAATCTAGGGCAGTAAATACATCAGCATTATTTTAGCTTGAGATAGCTTATCTGATTTTGACTTGGAAAGAGGTCAAAGTTGAAAATGAAGCTACTGGTTTATGTGAATACTGTGATGATGGCTCATATCCTATCTGCTCAAGATAAGCTAAGTGAAGTGCCTCCCTAAAAATAAAAATAATTTATTTTAAACTTTGTTAAAACTTGAAGGTTTTAATATTAACTCAAAGAACATTATGTGGCAAGTACAAGCGGAGGCCCCTCTGACCTGTATGTAAGGGCTGTCCACCCTTATATGCACATATATGCATATACTTGCTCTAATAACTACAGCAAGATTTTTGTAACATCTATCTAAAAATTACCCATTTAAGTAATAAGGACCAATTTTTACCCTCCATTTGTTTTACAAGTCAGGCTTGGAATATCCTGCCCTAGAAATTCACAAGTGCTTCAGATTTGCCTGTAGACTCATTCTAAACAAAAACAAAAAAATCAGAACTTTTAGCATTTTAATCCAGATTCCTGCAGCAAGCAAAATGCTTCATTTTAAGTTTTACTTGAAGCATGCTATCTATATCCAGTTTGTCAAAAATATTTTTTCTCTGTAAATATTTAGAGACAAGGAAAAACATGTTAAAGAAAACTACAAATATGCAGCTACTTTTACAGCTTTCCATATGGGAAGGAAATTGAAAGAAATTGTAAGTTAGTTTAGACTGAGGCATCTCCAACCCACTTGACTGCATTATACCACAGAAAGGGAAACTCTCAAATCTTTCCCGTGAAAATCCCTATATACTTATAATGAACACACTGGTTGTTTCTTTTTCCTTTGTGCCTTGTCATACACTAGACTCAAAAGATAAAAATGAGACTTTGAATCATGTAATTCTTAATTTATTTTAACCTTTAGCTGCTAAAAAAAGGTTATTCATACCTGTAATAGGTAATATGTGAACCAATAACATCACCCATAGGGACCGGGTCCCAAAGTGCACACTTTGACAGAGGGAAACTGAAAGGGACCATCCTTTCGGGAACAAATCTGGGAAGATCACAGAAATAAGAAAGGAAAATGGATTAAGCTTAGTACTTTCAAATAGCATTCATAAGAAGGAACAAGGGAGTAACACTGTAAGAAAAACAACGATTAGGATACATAAGCTATTGGTACATTTTGTTTCAAGTTCAGGCCAATGAAACAGAAACTTTGTCCTATGAAGCTGTCAAGGATATGAACTACAAAGTGAACACAAAACTTCTGTTTTCTACCTGACAGTTCTTTCATGTAATCTTGGAAGATGCGTAGGCCAAACTACAAGTTTGCAGATGAAGCTCAAGAAAATGCTGTTCTGGATATATCATCGGACAGGAAAAGATTATCAGTCATTAGAAACTCCCACAGCACACAGAAAATCTTGATTTAGCAAACTTTAACATTAGATCAGCTTCCAAGAGCCCTGTTTTAGTCACTTTTTAAAGTCAGCATTCAATCCACTTAAGCTTTGAGGACTTCTGAAATAAAACCTTGGCTTAACTCAAATCTTATAGTGCAAAAATTGCAATCAGACTTCAAAGACACCTGAATAAATTAGTATGTAATTATGCAAACTTATTTACACAAGCAGGATTACATTTTCTTAAGAGTTGCCTAAACCAAGTCTGTTAAGTAAAATCCAAAACCTTTGGCAGTCCACAGCATTTGAGAAATATCTCAACGCTCTTTAATGAATAAACAAGAACTTCCTTTGTAGGTATTTGAGGCGTCAAACTTTGCCAAGGTGCTTTCTTTGCATCTCCCCAAGTTCCCACGAAAGAAGTTTCTCTATTTTTAAGGAGGCCCTCTAAGCAACTCATGTATCTCTCATGTTTCCAGCGACAGTTAATTGATTCACATTAAAAGCTAAACGCCCACCAAAATAATTCCTGATTTAGGCTTGTAAAAGGGGAAACTTTTTTAATGCCCCACTGTTTTCATCAGGTTTTGGCAAGCACGGATCAGAAACACACCCCCACAGCTCTTTATAACCAGAGCCGCACTCGCGGAGCGGCATCGGGCCCGGCGTGCGCCCCGAAGGCCTGGGGGCGATGCACCGCCCTCCCACACTTTGCGAGGAAGGGTATGGCGGACCCTCCCAGAGCGGTTTCCCCGACGTGGAGCGGGTACCTCAGATCTAGGCCGGGCAGAACAGGGTCCATGCGGGGCGTCCGTAGCTCTGCCCCCTCCTCTTCTCCCTGCCGTAGGGCACCGGCGTGGGGCCTGCCCGGGACAGCCCCTCCCTCAGCCAGGCGCCGGGGGGGCCCTGCCAGCGTCCCCCGAGGGAGGAAGGGAGCGGCCAGTGACACCCCCTCCCCAAGGCCTAACTACCGGCCCGGCCGGCGCCCCCGGGGGGGGGAGGGGAGCGGCCAGTGACCCCCCCTCCCCAAGGCCTAACTACCGCCGCACTCCCTGCAGGGAGGCACCAGGAACCGCCTCGCCTACCGCAGCAGCAGGACCCGACCCCACCCGGCA